TTACTTTAAGCTCTAAATAACACTTTACAAACATACTAGGCTAGTTTATGCAAACATAGCCTAGATTATGCTTAGCGCGCAAAGAATTAGCTATATTAGCTATAAATGCTATTTAAGAGGAAATTCCTTACGCATATAGCTTAAGTATAGTCTTAATAATTACCTGCTTCTTTTTATTACCTAGCCTCTGTAATTTAGCTATAGAATTAGCTTGTAAAGGTTGTCTAGCGCTATAGTTATTTATTATCTTTTATAGGACTTTATATATAGCTACAGCACATTTTTTTAAGAGTTTTATGTCTTATTTAAAAGCTTAGAGTGTAAGCTGTATCTAACATTCTTTTAGCGCGTCTAAGTAGTGTTGTGGGGAATGCATTAGTGTAGGAAGGGTGGTTTAGTAGGGTCTTGGCAAAAGTAAGCGACTTAGGTGTGTGAGCAACTCGCCCATGAAGTACGTTAACACTTTTAAATTAATATACTGTAGCTATATATACTATAACTGTTAAATAGGCTCTTTCAGCTAGCTGCTTATGGTATGAGCACTTAGGTAGCAAGAGTGAGAGTAGTGTACGGTGTGCATAGCGTACGAAGTAGGTAGGGTGGAGGCAACATGTTTCTGGTTCTATTGCTCTCTCTTTTTCCTCTGTACAGAGGAAAAGGGGAATATCTAGATGTTCGCGCACAGAGGTTTGCGCACGAGCATCATGTGACATAACTACGTGATCCTTCTCGTGCGCAATAACTAGTATTGTCAGATTGAAGCACTGTTTCTGGGCTTCCTGAGATGAATGATGGGTTTTGGATATGATGTATGGGATGATGATTGATTGTATTAATTAATCAATGTTTCTTTTTCTTTTTTGTCTGCTCTGCTCGTGTTGCTCGGCTTTGTTTTTCCGGTCTGAGTCCCTCGCGTACTAGCCCTATGCGCGACCAGCTGCAACATGCTGCAATTTGCAGCAACATACTGTTCAAGCTTATTGCTTGTACTATGTAGCAGCTTTTGTCCAGCGTTCCTCCTGTCTTAATAGTAGGTGCGCATATCTAACACACCCTCTTAGCTTAGACATGCTTTAAGCTAGTTCCTAATTACGCAACCTTAGTATGCTTCTAGGGCTTCTATTCTTGCTTTAATTTCTTCTATATCTGCTTCCTAACTAACTATCCTCTCCCTAACGTTAACTAGCTAAATTTGCTAAAGAAAGCTTAGCTATTTACTAGCTAGAAGCGCTTTAGTAAGTCTGTCTACAAGCATCTTACTAAAGGGGACTGTTACGGTCTATGGTTGGACCAACGTAACTCCACCCGCGGTGCTCCACAATCTAGCTGGATTGGGACAGGGCTCGCTTACGGATCAATCGAAGGACACGGAGGCAGCGCGGCTGCCAGCAATCACGGAAGAATGCGTCGTCTAATAAGGAAACAGGCCGCGTATTAGTAGGAGCACAAGGGAGCTTAAGGGAGCTTAAGGAGCTCTCCTTAGCAGGCTCCTACAAACTCCGCTAGCTCCCTTTGCTATCCTAGCACATGTATATAGTTCCCACATTAAACAACCTTTAGAAGGTGTGTTTAACATTTAGTTTATTTATTACATAGACTAAGTAGTATTTAGCTTTTTAAAGAGCTGTAATACTATTTATATATCTTGCACTATATATACCTCTAACCTTGTCCTATAAGGACTGTTTAACCCTAGCCTCCCTACTGCCGCACATAGGGCAAACTACAATCTAGTCACCCTTTATTCTCTATTAGCCTAATAGCCTGTACGTAGGACTGTACACCCTACTAGATTAGCCTCTTCTACCTATTCTACTTATTCCCTAGAAACATTATTAGACCTAAGTGCTTCTATAAAGTAAGAATTATAACATTAAACACTACCTTTTTAAAAAGTATAGTAACCTCTTAACATAATTTAGATTCTAACATAGCCTACGCTGCGCTATCTAGATCTACAGAAGTTTTTACCTAAAGTAAAGCTGTCTTAGCAGAACAAATTAACTTAATCTAGGACAACATTAAGAAACTTTAGTAAATTAGTAATAAAGTTAGCAAGTTATTAAAACTTAAATAAAAAATAGCTAACCTTTACTAAAAAACTATAAACTTATAAAATCTCTTGCCCCTTACTAATTTTTATAAGGCTAACACCTAAGCCTACTAGATACATAAACTATAAGTTAAGCTAGCAAAAGTTTAGAATATCTTAATAGATAAAGTAAGTGTTGTAGCTAAAAAGGCTTTAAGACTAGCCTTTCTAAAGCCTTTTAAAAAATTATTAAAAAACCTTTAACTATTTTTTACTAAATGCTACCTTTATATATAATATAATAAAGAAGCATTTTAGACTAATGTAAAAATAATCTCTTAAATAGAATTATACTTAAAAAGCCCTTCTATAATCTAGTTCTAACTCTACACTAATAATTAGATAGACTTTAGAGCTAACAGCGCACTACTTAACTCTAAAACTAAGGAAGTATTTAGTAGTGTTAAAAACTTTAAAGCAGCCTTATTAGCTATCTATAAAACTTTAAATAAAAAAAAAATTATAGCTAATAGACTAGACAATATAAGATAGGGCAGCAGACTAGTCTAAAACTATGCAGCGCGCTTTAGAGAACAAATAGCTATATGTATATAGAATAACTAGAAAGCCTTATGCTGCATGTTTTATAATAGACTAAATAACAAAGTAAAAGATAAGTTTATGCACATAAACTAACTAACTACTTTTAAAAACTACATTAAAAAAGCAACAACTTATAATAATTACTATAAAAAACATAAAAAAGAAAAGAAATTAAAGGGAACCTTCTAGAAGCTAGAATTTGTCCCTAAAAAAAAAAAGCTTTTATAATATAATAAAAAGCTAATAGACCTTAGTTATGTAAAGCATACATAGAGCCCTCTCTCTAAAAAGAGCTAAGTTCTAGGACGCAATAGGCTGCCTCTAATAAAAGAATAATAAAAGTAGCTAAAGGATAAGGCCTACCTAAACTATAAAAAAGTAGGACATTTTTGCTAAAACTGCCTAGACTTTTAGAAGAGGGAGAATAAAAATACTACTGTAATAATAAAAGCTATTACTGCTAAATATAGCCTTATAAATAAAGAAATATTAAAAAGATTAAATAATAAACTTTACTAGCAATGCAAAAAAAACTACTCTTTAAAAGACTATTTTAAGGCGTATTAGAAAGTAGTTATACAGAATTTTAGTAAGC